GGGGGGGGGGCAGATGGTAGGGAGCAGTCTTTACTTTCTGGCCAGGTAGCCACGGCACATCGCCTGGAATGCCATGATGACATCGGTGATCTTCAAGTCTCGTTCCTCTTCCAGGTGGGCCAGGACCCCAGTTCGGAAGAAAATTTTGCTCTGCCCAATCCGATACAAGTTGGGGTCGAGTTCCAGGGCTTTGATCTACAGAAGGAAGGAGAAGCAAAGTTCGTGTTTGCAGCTGTGCCCTTTGGGCAATGGTCTCACCACAAGCAGCTGCTGGGAGAGAGGCCTGAAGCCGGGCTACCCATGTCTCTTCTGTGTCCTCATCAGAACCATCCATGCACCGCCATGGTTCCCTGCCTCGGCAAGCTTCAAACGTCTACCTCTTATCCTGCCTCTCCAGCGCAGACCCTATTTCTGTTTTTAAAAACACACAGCTGCCGATACCTGTTGTTCTGCAGCATCCATTAATTCCAACTCTGTTGGACCAGGCGAGAATTGCCCCATAGGGTTTCCTAGGCTGTAATCTCTACAGGAGCTGATCACTGGGGCTTTTATCCTGTGGAGCTGCTGGTGGGTTGAAACCGCCAACCTTTGGGTTAGCAGTTGAGTGCCTAACCATGACACCAACAGGGGTCCTTGACCATGACGTGCCCAGAAGCCAGGATGGACTCACCATGAGAATGCAGGCCTGCTTCCCATCCATGAAGCCTTTGGGAATGGCACTTGCTGCCAGGATCTCGTAGCTTGAAACACAGGAAAGAAGTCACCAACTGTACCTCGGTCATCGGTCCCAGCACCCAGCTCCGCTCCCCCACCCAACACACGCGCTGGGCCGCCCTGCAGTGGGCTCACCGTTGGCGAAACTCCTGGAAGACGATCCTGTTGGGGAAGCCCTGACGACAGATTCGGATGCCTTCCAACACCCCGTTGCACCGCAGCTGCTCCAGCACCAGAAATGCATCCAGCTTGCCTGACTGAGATGGCAGGAAACGGTAATGATCCCTGGGCGGGGACCCCGAAACAAAAAGCCCTAACTCATAGGCCTGGACGACCAACCTGGTGAGGTCTGGGTGGGTAGTGACAGACAGCAGCACCAGGTGAGGTCTCAGGTGAGGATGAGGGAGAAGCCGTGCACTTTCTCTGGGCTTCCAGGCCCCATCATGCCTCTTGCACTTGGTGACAGAAACCATGACCTGACTCAAGACCAGGGCTTCATCCAGGTCACATCTCTCCCCCTCAACCCTCATTTCCCATCAATCCCCATCTTCTATAGCTCCTGCTTCTCAAATACCTCCCAGTTCACCTGCCCATCTCCATTCCCATCATCACAATCATCCACGCAACCTGGATCATCTCCTACCTGGATCACTTCAGAAATCTCCTACCTGGTCTTCTACTCTCACTTTGGCCTTTCTACCCTATCCCTTGATATTGTTTCTAAAATGCGAATCTACTGTGACCTATTGTTGCGATTGCGTTGATCATGGTGACCCCACGTGTGTCAGAGTAGAACTGTGCTCCACACGGTTCAACTCAATGGCTGAGTTTTCCCAAGTAAACCATCAAGCCTTTCTTTGTGGCCTGGGCGGAGTAGAGTCTCCAGTTAGCAGCCAAGTGTATTCACCACTTGCCCCACTCAGGGCCTTCTCCCCAGTGGTGTTCCTACAGAAAGAAGACCAAACTGGTCAGCACACAAAGAACTCCGGGATCTAGTTCCTGCCTGACCATTCAGCCTCATTCTTCTCAATCCCTGCCTCACGCCGTGACATGCCAACATCACTCGCACTACTCTCCACTTCACTAGGTTCAGGCCTGTGCATTCTCTAATGTTCACATTGTCTAAGAAGCTTTCGCTGAGCCCCGAGGCTGGAGTAGGAACCCTAACTGCTTGGTGGTCTCATAACCTACCCCGTTACATCATGGTTCTCAGCTCGGGTGTCTATTTCCCCACCGTCTGGTCTTGCTTTGTGATGGAAGCCGCCCAGTGCATTGCAGACGATCCACTGACATTCTTAGCGTCTACCCCCAAGATGCCAGGCACACCCTCTTCTCAGTGGGACAACCAAAAATGTCTCTAAGCCAAGCACACTGCCATTTGGATCCTGTGGAGCAACTGGTAGGCAGGTGCCCCACCACATTACCAGGGCACAAGTAGCCCTAGTGGAGAACCCTGAGCTAGATTGAGAAACCTGCAGGCCGGGACGAAAGCTCATCTACCACCACGTTCCCAGCACATGGCATAGCTAGGAAGTTGGTAGACATTTACTGGCATCATGAGTGACTGCCTGAGGTGGTGCCCTTGACAGATGGTAAACTCGGAGCTGAAACCAGTCTCCAGATACATCCTCCTTTCCTCCCTTGCCTTCTTCTGCCTCCAGAGATGAGGAGACCAAGCCAAACTGGGTCCAACTCATGGTGGCTCTCTGTGTTTCAGAGTGCAACTGTGATCCACAGGGTTCTTATGACTCGACCTTTTGGAAGACAGCCAGACCTTTCTTCTGAAGAGCCTCTGGCTGGCATCAACCCACCAACCTTTCTGATAGTGACCCAGTGCTTAACCATGGGCACCACCAGAGCCTCCAGGGATGAAGAATGGGTACCATAGTCACAACCTTCCACCCGAGGCTGATGGACCCCCCAGCTGGGGGAGAGTCAGGCTTCCTCGGTCTGTGTCCTTCTGTCCACGGTCTGTAGCAGTGCACCTGGGCCCCCCACAGCCCTCTCCTCGAGTCCCAAACAGGCCTGGGCTAGCGCTGAGCGCCCCCAGCAAGCTCACCCGCTTCTCGTGGTTGGGGATGATGCAGCGCACGAAGTTGGGCGTGGTGTTGCGCAGCGTGGTCATCAGCTTCCCCAGCTGCTCCTTGTAGAGCTGCCCCACCGTGCGGAACATGCCCTTCTTTGTCTTGGAGGCGCTGGGCAGCGAGCTCTCTGTCATCTTGGCCATCTGGTCCAGCCCCACAATGCGGTCCACTAGAGGGACATCAGAGTAGGGTCAGCCCTCTGGCGTCCCGGGGCTCCCACAGTGGGCTGGCGAACCAGGCCCAGGGCAGGTGGGAGAGTGACGCTCCCTGGGCTCAGAACCTTCTCTGAGAAGCCCCAAGCCCCTCAGTGCCCCATTCCTCCCCTGTCTCTTCCACGGGACAAGGAAGGGGTGGAGGGCAGAGGGCTTTCCAGTATTATCTAGTTCAGAGCGCTCCTAAGTGGAGGAGACTGGGAGCCAACCCTACTATGACCATGAACTCACTAGGTCTCATGGACCTGCACCCTTGTGCCTCAGTTCCTTCACCTGCATAAGAGGCTAGGCCAGCCCTCACCACCCAGGGTACGAAAAAGGGAATAAAGCAGGGGAAGCACTTCCTGACCTCCTTCATCCCACCACAAACATTCACGGAGCACCTACCGTGCTCCAAAGAAGCACGGGTGGCACAGGTGGGTTAGGACTGGGCTGCTAACCCCAAGGTCCGTGGTTCAGACCCACCAGCTCCTCCACGGGAGAAAGATGAGGCTGTCTGCTCCCACAAAGACTTGCAGCCTCAGAAACCACATGGAGCCGGGCTACTCTGTCCTGCAGAGTTGGTAGGAACCAGAGTTGACTCACTAGCAGTGGGGTTGGTGTTTGGGTTTTACCACGTCCCAACCCTGGGGGTCATAGTGCCTGGCCAGTCTCCTGGAAGCACAAGAGCCACGAGCCCATGTTGACGTACAAAACATGCTAAGGGCTGCCAGGGAAATGGGAGAGTGATGGGATTAGGGTTTCCTGATAAACTGCTTTTGGCACAGAGGCCTGAAGGCAGCAGAAGACTGGTCATGGAGACGGCCCGGAAGAATGCTTCGAAGGCACAACCTGCAGCACCCCATCAGCAATTCCTCAGCCCAGTTCTGGTCGCCATTGGCTACAACTCAAGCCCCCCCCCCCCTGCCCCCTTTGAGTGAGAGGAAACCTGTGCTCCACACGGCTGCTTTGCAACGACTGCTGTTTCCAAAGCACATGGCCAGGCCCTCTAGCGGGACTCAAACCAGCAGCCTTTGGGCTGGCATTGAGCAGGTTAAGTGTTGGCACCACTCAGGGACTCCATGATCAATACCAAAGCAAAATAAAAACCATTGCCATCAAATAGTTCCCCGCGCAGAGTGATCCTGTAGGGCAGGGGAGCACGAGCCACTTGCTCTGTAGGGCCTTCCACAGTTGTCAATGTTATGGAAGCAGCCTAGCCCATCTTTATCCAGTGCAGTGGCTGATGGGTTTGAACTGCTAACCTTTCCTTTCGCATCTGAGCACATTCACCCCACCGTGCCACGGGGTTTTCTATCATCACTGTGAAACCAAACTCAAACATACTGCCACGAGCTGTGTCTGACTCACAGAAACCCAAGAGAGGGGTCTAAGACTGTAAATCTTTCCAGGATCAGCTAGCCTTGTCTTTATCCTGCAGAAGCTAGTGAGTTCGAACCACCACCCTTGTGGCTAACAGCCCAACGGTGAACCCACAGGGCCATCAGAGCTACAGGAATCATAGTGGAATCACACTCTCCACGAGTCCAGCTGATGCTGCATGTGCCAAGCCCAACCAACCCACATCAGGGCTGCATCATTTCTGCCCCTTGTAGTCAGCCACATCTGACATCACGGAATCAGCTCTCGGCTAGTCTTTCTCTCCCACAAGAGAGATAGACGGATTGGTCCTTGAGGGAAGGGTCTTAGGAGGCCCAGGGTGAAGGAGAGCCAAGTTGAGATGCAGCTACCCAGTCCCAGGGTCTGGCACACGGTTGGCGCTCAGTAAATGTTGACATAGCTGCCCCCTGGGGCGCTTTTTCTATCATGTTTAAAACAAGGGTCACATCCTCCGTGCCAAGAACAAACACATGGCCAGGGACAAAGACGGCTGGGAACAAAATGAGCAAACTCCAACCTCAACCATCATTCCAGTTGTCAGCACGGAGCACTGACGATGGGTCAGGCAGGGGCTCAGTACTTGGTGTGGGTTATCTAAACATTGGTTCCCAAAGGGACCAGCAGGACCATGGAGTTTATTAGATAGAAATGCACACTCCTAGGCTCCGCTCAGACCTACAGGATCAGAACCTCTGGGGTGGGGTCCCAGTGATCTATGTAGAACTAATTTTCCAGGTGACCCTGATGCATGCCCAAGTTTGAGCACCCGGGTCTAATCTAGCCTTCACAATAAGCATAGGAGAGGTGGAAACGATTACTGTTTACTTGATTTCACTAATGAATCAGCAAACGGAAGTTTAACAGAGTTAAGTGACTTGTCCAAGATGACACAGTTAGCAAGTGAGGGAGACAAGCTCTGGTTCCTAAGTTAGGACACCCCAAGGCACCACACCTGGGAGAGTCTGTTTCTGCCACGCATTGCCTGAGCTCTGACCTCAGACTAGCTCCCCGGGGGTCCAGTTTGGAGGTAAAGGGCTCAGGGCAAACACTCAGAGGGAGGTGGTTGAATGCTTCAACAAAATGTTTCTTGTTAACCTTGCCCTCTCCCCACACCCACTTCCTGGCAGCAGGTGTGGGGACTGGGGACAGCTGGGAGGAGATGGAGGACTAGAGTGTTTGATTCTCCTGATCCAAACGACCGCCAGCACAGGGAACGTCTTACCGTCCTTCCACAGGTCAGCCACAAACTTGTCTGCGGAGGCATTGAGGAGGGAGGTCACATTGTCATTCAGTGGGTCCATGTTCTTCGTTAGCCAGGCACTTGCATTGTAGTCCACCTGCCGAAGGCCATTCCACCCATCAGATAGCCACATTTCTGCTCAAAACTTGGGCTGGGCCTGCCAACTCCCCCGTTTCCTTCCCAGGTCTCCCAAGGTTAGAGAGGAAGGAACCTTGGCAGCCACCATAAGGGGAATCCACAACACCAATGACGAGACCAATAGACTAGTGTTTGGGGCCCTGCACACAGTAGGCCATCAACACGTGGTAGACAATGGTGGGAAGGCCTCTCGTCCATGGACTTGCCTAGTAACCCTTCTCTGGTCACCCTTTGTCCAGAGCTCAGCAGGGTCCCTGTTGAGTTATGAAAAGTTAAGAGCTTTTATGATGGACAGTAATCTCCTTCTCGTATCCAAAGTTCTCCCTCATGCAGAGAAGGCTTGGAGATTATGTTTAAATTAAGTGTGATCTCTAATGCACCTGGAGCAATAGAGAAAGAAGGCAAATCAGAAATAAGAGGAGAAGATGGAATGGGTGCCTAACCGCCTCCATGAGACCAGAACTGGGTGGTGCCCGGCTACCATCACTGAATATTTTGATCCAAGATTCTGTATAAAAATCCTCATCACACACACAAACACAGGAAGGGGGCAGGGGGTGCAGAAGGGGATTTCTTTTTTTTTTTTT